ATACTTAATTTTTCGCCCAAAAAAAAAACGTAAGGGGTAACACTGTCGTTTTTTTTTCGGGTCGAAATTTTGAGTTTCGATATCTCAGCTCTGGAAGGGTCTAGAGCCTCCATTGTTGCACTCAGGTCTAAGTCTCATGGCCCTCTATCAGAATCCAGAGTTTTGAGAAGATTGGGGATACTTAATTTTTCGCCCAAAAAAAAAAGTAAGGGGTAACACTGTCGTTTTTTTTTTCGGGTCGAAATTTTGATTTCGATATCTCAGCTCTGGAAGGGTCTAGAGCCTCCATTGTTGCACTCAGGTCTAAGTCTCATGGCCCTCTATCAGAATCCAGAGTTTTGAGAAGATTGGGGATACTTAATTTTTCGCCCAAAAAAAAAACGTAAGGGGTAACACTGTCGTTTTTTTTTCGGGTCGAAATTTTGAGTTTCGATATCTCAGCTCTGGAAGGGTCTAGAGCCTCCATTGTTGCACTCAGGTCTAAGTCTCATGGCCCTCTATCAGAATCCAGAGTTTTGAGAAGATTGGGGATACTTAATTTTTCGCCCAAAAAAAAAAACGTAAGGGGTAACACTGTCGTTTTTTTTTCGGGTCGAAATTTTGATTTTCGATATCTCAGCTCTGGAAGGGTCTAGAGCCTCCATTTTTGCACTCAGGTCTAAGTCTCATGGCCCTCTATCAGAATCCAGAGTTTTGAGAAGATTGGGATACTTAATTTTTCGCCCAAAAAAAAAAAACGTAAGGGGTAACACTGTCGTTTTTTTTTTCGGGTCGAAATTTTGAGTTTCGATATCTCAGCTCTGGAAGGGTCTAGAGCCTCCATTTTTGCACTCAGGTCTAAGTCTCATGGCCCTCTATCAGAATCCAGAGTTTTGAGAAGATTGGGGATACTTAATTTTTCGCCCAAAAAAAAAAACGTAAGGGGTAACACTGTCGTTTTTTTTTCGGGTCGAAATTTTGAGTTTCGATATCTCAGCTCTGGAAGGGTCTAGAGCCTCCATTGTTGCACTCAGGTCTAAGTCTCATGGCCCTCTATCAGAATCCAGAGTTTTGAGAAGATTGGGGATACTTAATTTTTCGCCCAAAAAAAAAAAAGGGGTAACACTGTCGTTTTTTTTTTCGGGTCGAAATTTTGAGTTTCGATATCTCAGCTCTGGAAGGGTCTAGAGCCTCCATTGTTGCACTCAGGTCTAAGTCTCATGGCCCTCTATCAGAATCCAGAGTTTTGAGAAGATTGGGGATACTTAATTTTTCGCCCAAAAAAAAAACGTAAGGGGTAACACTGTCGTTTTTTTTTTCGGGTCGAAATTTTGATTTTCGATATCTCAGCTCTGGAAGGGTCTAGAGCCTCCATTGTTGCACTCAGGTCTAAGTCTCATGGCCCTCTATCAGAATCCAGAGTTTTGAGAAGATTGGGGATACTTAATTTTTCGCCCAAAAAAAAAACGTAAGGGGTAACACTGTCGTTTTTTTTTTCGGGTCGAAATTTTGAGTTTCGATATCTCAGCTCTGGAAGGGTCTAGAGCCTCCATTGTTGCACTCAGGTCTAAGTCTCATGGCCCTCTATCAGAATCCAGAGTTTTGAGAAGATTGGGGATACTTAATTTTTCGCCCAAAAAAAAAACGTAAGGGGTAACACTGTCGTTTTTTTTTTTGGGTCGAAATTTTGATTTTCGATATCTCAGCTCTGGAAGGGTCTAGAGCCTCCATTTTTGCACTCAGGTCTAAGTCTCATGGCCCTCTATCAGAATCCAGAGTTTTGAGAAGATTGGGGATACTTAATTTTTCGCCCAAAAAAAAAAACGTAAGGGGTAACACTGTCGTTTTTTTTTTCGGGTCGAAATTTTGATTTTCGATATCTCAGCTCTGGAAGGGTCTAGAGCCTCCATTGTTGCACTCAGGTCTAAGTCTCATGGCCCTCTATCAGAATCCAGAGTTTTGAGAAGATTGGGGATACTTAATTTTTCGCCCAAAAAAAAAACGTAAGGGGTAACACTGTCGTTTTTTTTTGGTCGAAATTTTGAATTTCGATATCTCAGCTCTGGAAGGGTCTAGAGCCTCCATTGTTGCACTCAGGTCTAAGTCTCATGGCCCTCTATCAGAATCCAGAGTTTTGAGAAGATTGGGGATACTTAATTTTTCGCCCAAAAAAAAAAACGTAAGGGGTAACACTGTCGTTTTTTTTTCGGGTCGAAATTTTGATTTTCGATATCTCAGCTCTGGAAGGGTCTAGAGCCTCCATTGTTGCACTCAGGTCTAAGTCTCATGGCCCTCTATCAGAATCCAGAGTTTTGAGAAGATTGGGGATACTTAATTTTTCGCCCAAAAAAAAAAACGTAAGGGGTAACACTGTCGTTTTTTTTTTGGGTCGAAATTTTGATTTTCGATATCTCAGCTCTGGAAGGGTCTAGAGCCTCCATTGTTGCACTCAGGTCTAAGTCTCATGGCCCTCTATCAGAATCCAGAGTTTTGAGAAGATTGGGGATACTTAATTTTTCGCCCAAAAAAAAAAAACGTAAGGGGTAACACTGTCGTTTTTTTTTCGGGTCGAAATTTTGAGTTTCGATATCTCAGCTCTGGAAGGGTCTAGAGCCTCCATTGTTGCACTCAGGTCTAAGTCTCATGGCCCTCTATCAGAATCCAGAGTTTTGAGAAGATTGGGGATACTTAATTTTTCGCCCAAAAAAAAAACGTAAGGGGTAACACTGTCGTTTTTTTTTCGGGTCGAAATTTTGAATTTCGATATCTCAGCTCTGGAAGGGTCTAGAGCCTCCATTGTTGCACTCAGGTCTAAGTCTCATGGCCCTCTATCAGAATCCAGAGTTTTGAGAAGATTGGGGATACTTAATTTTTCGCCCAAAAAAAAAAACGTAAGGGGTAACACTGTCGTTTTTTTTTTCTGGTCGAAATTTTGAATTTCGATATCTCAGCTCTGGAAGGGTCTAGAGCCTCCATTTTTGCACTCAGGTCTAAGTCTCATGGCCCTCTATCAGAATCCAGAGTTTTGAGAAGATTGGGGATACTTAATTTTTCGCCCAAAAAAAAAAACGTAAGGGGTAACACTGTCGTTTTTTTTCGGGTCGAAATTTTGATTTTCGATATCTCAGCACTGGAAGGGTCTAGAGCCTCCATTGTTGCACTCAGGTCTATGTCTCATGGCCCTCTTCAAGTAAATGTACTCCGATACTGTCCGGCTCTGTTTTTCCGGTGTCCCCCAGCTCCTCGTTTAAGCAAAAGGTACTTTAAAACAACGTATTACATCGACGTTAAACCACGTTAACCGTGTTAACCATAACCTTTTAAATACTCGACCTAGTTCCGTTGTTTAGCAACGAGAAGAAACTCCTGTAACTTCAGTGCCCAACCCATCACGACATGGTCCACTTTGGAAAACATGTAGATGTCACGGTTTAACTGCAGTGATAGTTTAAACTCAAAACCATAAATAGGGCTATACTGCCCTCTTGTGTCAAATTCTTTCTATATTTATTTTTCCAACAAATAACCCGCAATAAAAATCCATCCAATACAACTTTGAACTCAACACATTCAGTGGCTCAGTTGATAAAGCGTTGGGCTTCAATCAAGAAGACCTGAGTTCAAATCCCAGTCTTGCTTACATTAAATTGTTGTGATTTTATCAAACAAAGTGGCCAAAACAACATTTCCCCAGCCGACAAGATGTGAAATAATCACTTTGGTCCACTTTGGAAAACGTGTAGATGTCACGGTTTCACTCCCTCAAACTAGAAACTTACACTTAAACTAAAACTTAAACTTACCATAACGACCTATTGGTTTTTGACATTTTGACACCAACGACCTATTGGACCTAACGACTTTTTGGTTTAAGTGCTATAACACGCTTTGATGATTGGGCTGGGTTTGCCTGAACTTTTCTCCCAAACTATACAGTAAAATGACTTTTGATCGCTCTCTCTCTTCTCTCTCTCTCTCTCTCTTCTGAACTGCGAATGTCAAATTTGCATCACAGACAAATGGTTTAATTAAAATATAGTTCATACTGTAAATAGAAATGGCTGGCGATATAAACATGTTCAAGATAACGTCTTTATAGGAATAATAAATAATTTCTCCAGTAACGAAAGCAGAACCGATAACGTCCGAGCTTATCGATACAGCGGTCTTTCAAAATTCAGTACCGGGGCCCGTTTAATACCGGGTTTCGGTACCCATCCCTAATCATTACATATATTAATAATGAGTGTATACATATACAAACATTAAATTCAACAAAAAAAATGCTAAATAAATTTATCGATAATTAATATTAATATTCAATTTAATTTACATTAATAAAGTAGGCAATAATAATGTATAATAAAAAAATCTAATTATATATATATATATATATACATTCATAAACATTCATAATTAACAATTAAATGTAAAAAAAATGATGTATGATAATTAACATTATCATGAGCATGAATAAATTAAATCTTTAAAAATAAAATTTAAATTAATGTAAATCATATAGGCCTACAAACATTAAAATAATAATAAAAAATGAAAAAGTCATGTTTTTTAAAAAATATATATATTTTTTGTCTCCGAATAAGATGGAAAATAGCAGAAAGTAGTGTCTAAAAAACGTAAATATTAACAATAAAAATGTATGATAATGTTTAATAATATGAACATGAATACATTATAATTGGAATAATTTATATTTAAGCCTAGAAACATTACAATAACAATAAACAAACAATATTAAAAGTCATGTGTTAAGAAAAGATCATGAAATTGTATTATTTGTGTCCTAATACGATGGAAAATATCAGGCAAAAGAGTCAAAATCAATTTTGGCGTCCTTCAGCACCCATACCGTAACTGCAGGATTTGACGCGCATGCAAAAAAAAAAAAATGTGCGGCTAGCTTGACCGTGTATTTTCCACGCGCAGCCCACTTGACCGCAGTGTTCTAAGCGCGAACACCCGACGTGCATATGTACTAAAACCTCCTGCATGGACTGGCAGCAGTCTTCGCTGACTACTTTGTCTTTAACTTGCAATATCCAGCAGAAGTCGCAAGCACACTTGAATTCCTTCAGAGGTGAGTTTAAACATGACACTGTCATGAAAATTATTATAGCAATTATGGAGGTATATTTGATTTAAATCAACTTAATGCCTGTGACAGTGCGATTTGTAGTTGTAGAGAAAATCCACACATTACACACACACACACACACACACACACACATCAAGAAACCTGAAGTTGTGGAGAAATTTTGCACATGCTCAAATCAGTATGTGAATTTACCCAAATCATTTTAAGCGAACTTAAAATACAATTGTGCATCATTTCATAAAGTTCATATACGTTTATGAAATGAAATGCACAATTGTATTTTAAGTTCACGCTGAAACTACATTTTTCTTTTTTAAATAATCCATTAAACTTGCTGAGAAATGATTGTGTGAACTAAAATGAGCAGTATACATATACAAGACATATACAAGAAATATTCTTCAAGGTTGCAACTCTCATTGGATGAATTCACATATTGATTTACAGTTGTTCATAAATTTCTCCACGACTTCACATTTCATGATGCTGGTGTATAAATGCGTTTCACACCAAATCACTGCAGCAACTGTATCAAAAATGTGAGCGTACAAGTTCATTAAAGGGATAGTTCACTTTGAAATTAATTTTTGATATGTTTTAGCTTACCTCAAGGGCATCCAAGATGTAGGTGTCTTTGTTTCCACAGTATTTTCCATTTTGATATATTTTTAGGTCAAACCGTTCCTGTCTGTCAGTCATATAATGGAGGTGTATGGTCACCACTTCAAAGAGCATGCACAGAGAAGTCTAAATTAAACTAGATTCAATGACTCATAAATGTAAGTACACATAGATGGCCTAAGACATGAAACGAGTGGTTTGTGTGAGAAAACGAACAGTATTTATATCGTTTTTACCTCTTGTAACCACAGCCGTATCCAACTGATCTGACGGCACGGGCGCTTTGGTCTGCACAAGCCCCGGAAGTGATCTCTTGTGCATGTACACACATTGTTTACACAGATTTTAGAAGTTTAACTTTTCACTGTGAAGATCTAAACATATTTAGATGTACAGGAAATCGCAATGGAAGACGATTTCGATATTTAGATCTTCACAGTGAAAGGTAAAACTTCCGAAATCTGTGTAAACAATGAGTGACGCACATACGCGAGAGATCACTTCCGGGGCTTTCTGGCGCGCTTGCGCAGATAGAAGCGGCCTCGCCCTCAGAGTACTTGGACGTCACTGCGATTACACAAGGTAAAAACGATATTAATACCGTTTGTTTTCTCTCACAAACCGCTCGTTTCGTGTCTTAGGCCATCAATGTGTACTTACATTTACAAGTCATTCAATCATGTTTAATTTGGACTTCTCTGTGCATGCTCTTTGAGGTGGGCCCCATAAATCTCCATTATATGATGCATAGACAACGACGGTTTGTCCTAAAAATATCAAAATTGAAAATACTGTGGAAACAAAGACACCTACATCTTGGATGCCCTTGAGGTAAGCTAAAACATCAAAAGGAATTTGAGATGGTGTAATTTGGGAGAGAAAAAATGTTTACAAGTTTGCAACTCTTAAAATATTTCTCTCTTTGGCTTCAAATTTACTGATACACATGCATGGCTTTTGTCTATAACTACAAATCACACTGTCACAGGCGTTCAGTTGATTTGAATCAAATATACCTCCATTAGTAATGACGAAAACGAACAGTATTTATGTTGTTTTTACATCTTGTAATCACAGCCACGTTCAAGTGATCTAAGGGCCCGGGCGCTTTGTGGCTGTGGCTACATGAGGTAAAAACGATATAAATACTGTTCATTTTCTCACACAAACCGCTCGTTTCGTGTCTTAGGCCATCAATGTGTACTTGCATTTACGAGTCATTAAATCATGTTTAATTTGGACTTCTCCGTGCATGCTCTTTGAGGTGGTGACAATAGACCTCCATTACATGACTTACAGACAGATATCAAAATTGAAAATACTGTGGAAACAAAGACACCTACATCTTGGATACCCTTGAGGTAAGCTAAAACATACCAAAAATGTATATCAAAGTGAACTATCCCTGTAATGTTTCATGTCATGGTAATGACCATGTCATATCAGTCTTAAATGTTATCTGATAAGTGTGTTTCCCTCCCTGTTTTCAGAGCCTTTTGCAGCATCCCCAGATGGGCAGGCAGAGAAAAAAACGTCCAAAATGTGCATTGTGGACTCGTTTTCTCATTAGTTTTAAGAGAAAATAAAAATATATATTTAAAAAAAAAGTGTTTTGTTTTTCTTTGCAGAAGTCTAAAAGAGGACATTTATCCAAGTTACAATATTTAATTGTAATATTTACAATATGCTGTCCTATGAAATTACAGAAAATACCTAAAATTACAGGAAATTCCTGGCTACTGAGTTGCCGTAAATATAAAATTTTGCTGTAAAATTTACAGTATTCTATCCTGTAAAATTACAGTACCTTGTTGTAGTTATTTTACAATAGCAGTCCTGTATACTGTTTACAGTAAATTTACGGCAACTATTAGCCAGGAATTTCCTGTAAAATTACAAGAAATTTCTAACAGTGTAGATGCACACTTTTTTTAAAGCTGCTTTGATTCTATTGTGAAAAGCGCTTATTCAAATAAATGTGAATTGAAAGTGGACATGACAGTAGCATTGTTCAAAACCTTATATTTAGTCAGTTAATTGATCAAAAACAATATGATGAGGAAACTTTTTGCTTAGTGACTGGAAAGACATATAGGTAAATCATGAGTGTTGCTCTTGATCTGGTTCCTGATTCAGGTTTTGTTGTTTAAATCCATAGGCCTGAGCTGAAAACTGTGACTGAGGATGCTTGACATTGTTGAACATATGACTGAGGGTTACTAGAAGTGAGACTAAACAGATTACCAGTATGATATGCAAACACTACACCACACCCTATATAATTAGTTGAAGGATTATGGATATTATGAATTCTGACAAAACAAATTACATCTTTGGCAAATCTATAGTGTCTGAATACAGGGGAAAACATGTTATGACTTCTTCTGTTCAGTTGTTTCATTATATTATGCAAATGATGTGATCAGGAAGCTATCAACCAGGTATCATGACAAGACGTGAAATTATCACGTTGGTCCACTTTGGAAAACGTGTAGATGTCACGGTTTAACCCTCTCAAACGTGAAACTTACAAGTTTGCGTTAACGCGTTCCCAGTGGAGAGATACCCGGATGTTGACCTATTCTACATGCAATCGCCTCTGCCATAACGACCTATTGGTTTTCATTAAACCGAGAAAAATTGAATTTTGTTTTATTGACGATCACTGAGAAATGTTCTATTATTTAAAATGCAAAAAAAAAAAAAAAAAAACATTTATTATTTTCAAGGTGAAAAGGATTCATTTGCCTTGATCCACGCTGAAAAAAAAAAAAAAACCCGTCTAAATGTCACGTTTTCAATGAAGTAGCCTAATGAGTAAAATGTCTATTTCCTTAAGCTTGGTAAGATTTAAAACTTTATTTATTTAGTTTTTTCCTTGCACCCCATCTAAAAAGGGTTATTGAATGTTGTTTTATTTGATGTTATTGTTATTGGTAGCCTACGCTGGAAAAATAGACATTTTACTCATTAGGCTACTTCATTAAAAACGTGACATTTATACGTTTTTATTTTCGCCGTGGATCAAGGGGCGAGGCATATTTCCTTTTCAACTTGAAAATAATAAATGTTGTTTTTTGTATTCTAAAATAATAGAACATTTCTCAGTGATCGTCAATAAAACAAAATTCCATTTTTCTCGGTTTAACCCTTTCACACGTAAGTTTAAAATATTCTAACTGACCCCCCAGCGTGAGTTTTTCAAGGCGACCGTTATTTAGAACTTGCCACTTTAATGTTTCCATGGTGACGCGTCATTGCTTGTCACGTGACACAGCACAACCAGAACAGAGCGCGGAATGAATGATGGTCTGCTTTTATGTCATTTTTCCTTTTTTATTAAAAATATTCAAAAATGTATTAGCTATATCATGAAACACTGATATTCCGATTGTCAAATATGTGCAAATGGATGGGTTTTGTTGTTTAGACATCTTTATAACGATCGCGTTAGTTGAGCTGTATGCACACAATGGGCGGCGCCGTTTTAGTTTCGTTTTCAGTTCAGAGAATCGGATCTGTTGGATTTATAACGTCAATTCATCCACTTCTCACGAAATGGGCTATTTGCACGCATAAGTTCCGCGTTTGACGCAAGGATGCTCGTCCATTTCCGGTTGTGGAGATTTAAGCGGAGGAGAACAGAGGAAAACGGAATTATGGCAGAGTCTTCAATATTTACTGTCCTCCCGTCTTTGAAACGAAACGTGTGCACTGAACGTTCTAATCACACCGGTGTGATCGTACGCTCCAGGGACCAGCCAAGACTGATCACACCGGTGTGATCGTACGCGTGAAAGGGTTAATGAAAACCAATATAGGTCATTATGGCAGAGGTGATGGGGTGTAGAATAGGGGGTAGCCAACGCATTCTCATCCTTTAACGTCATATAGAACGCTATATGCAAAAACGGCGCTATACTACGCACATGGCACCCGTTATCGTTAATATAACACGCGAACCCAAGACGTTATAAATCCTTTAGCGTGAATATGACACGCACACCCTACCCCACACCCAGGGGCGGAGTGGGACCAAAAAATCTACCGGGAAATTTTGTAGACCTCCGGCCCTCATCGCCAGCACGATTTTAATAGCCGATAGCATTTACAGTTTTACTGATTTAAAAGGAACTTTGTTGTACTAGTATGCTAGAGTAAAGTTCATAAATGGTCGTTCTTTCCCATAGTAATTTCTAAAACTATGCTGGGAGGACTCTGTGCCTCTAGGGGGGTTCGGGCCTAAACTTACGTTAAAGGATGAGAATGCGTCAGCTTCACGCTAGGATGAGAACGGGCTGGGGGTAGCCTATCTCTCCACTGGAACGTGTTAACGCAAACGTGTAAGTTTCACGTTTGAGGGGGTTAAACCGTGACATCTACACGTTTTCCAAAGTGGACCAAAGTGATTATTTCACGTCTTGTCGTGATACCGGGTTGAAGCTATTATTGGTCGATATATATGTTTGTCACACTTTGTTTTCTATGAATCTTAGCAGAGTTGAGACAAACCTATCTGTCACATTATCGATCATTAAGAGACAATATTGGACATTGGTGACACAAATTAAATGGCTTTTGACTTTGTAGGGAACTAAAGTTGCTCTTGACAGACATTCCAGGAAGTATAAGACCATCATACTTAGATGGGTTCTGTTCCTCAAACTATACAAACAAACTGTCAGAAACTTACATAGCCTAATAATGAAATGGTGCACATTAATGATACACTGACAGTACTATGAGTCAAAAATAGTCAATAATAATGGTAACACTTTACAATAAGGTTTCATTTGTTAACTACTTCAGTTACAAAACTAGCAATACTTTATCGTAATTTGAACATTTGCTAATGCATTATTAAAACCAAAAGTTTCATTTGTTACCATTAGTCAATGCATTGTGAACTAACAGAAACAAACAAAACAGATTGTATTTTTATTAACTAACATTAACAAAGATATATATATATATATATATATATATATATATATATGAAGAGTTCAGATGCAAAAGCCTCTAAATGCCATTTGAAATTTTCTTCTTTAATGATGATTTTTATCAAACTCGTATATTTAAGTTCAGTAATTTCACTTAAATAACAATTAATAGGTAATTATCATTGCCATTTAAGTGAAATCACTGAAATTAAATATACAAGCTTGATAAAAATTATCATTCTAGAAGAAAATTTCAAATGGCACTTAGAGGCTTTTGCATCTGAACTCTTCATATATATATATATATATATATGTGTGTGTGTGTGTGTGTGTGTGTGTGTATGTATTGCTTGTTGTTAGTTCATTTTAGTTAATACATTAACTAATGGTATAAACGAAACCTTCTTTTAAAGTGTTACCATAAAAGTGTTACCATACCATAACTTGGAAAAGAACCATAATGTTAGCAAGTTTGTGCACACACCTATTCACACATGTTCTGTTTACTCTGTTTAGATTTTAGTTTTCTTGTAAAGTTCCTTATATAATATGTAAGTGCTCTAAGCTCCTGTAAACAAGAACATACCTTTTATGTGTTGGTGCATATTCAAAGACAGAAGCTCTTTCCGATTTTGATCATCCTTTTTTTTCTCTCTTAGGAAGTCATCGGGTGCCATCTTTTATTAACTATTTAAGCAACTTTGCTCTTAAATAAAGACAATTCACTCAGAAAGTCTCCTGACTATACACTGACTGTTCTGGACACTCATGGGGGGAAAGATTTCTGATCCCAGTGAGTCATAAATGTAGCTGCCAGTTGGAGCTCTAGCCTCAAACAACCTGCTAGTATGTGCCTTAAAACCCTAATGTGACTAACTACTCAGCAAAGTGAAAATTACTCACAACCCCAATTTATTCAACCTTATGACTGAACATTCCTCCATAGAACTGTTGCTTTCACTATAAGGAGACGCAGGACAGAAGCTATTTTCTTTATTTCTAACTGATACTGTAAAATGTAGCTACATGTTGGTACTTCAAGCTGCATGTTTGACGGTATAAAGGGAGAATTTTTTCTATATTTTAAAGTTTACTTTAGAGAATGGTAACTTAGTTTGGGGACATTCAGAGATATAGGCTACTCAATCCAAGAAATTATTGATAAAGCAAATTTTGTTTTTTGACATCGTTAATGGTAATCTATTAATAGTTTTATAGTATTTAAATGTAAAAACAATGTGGCATGGCTAATTAATATAGTAAACCAGCTTGTTTGAGCTATTGCTTATGATCTTTTGAAAAGATCTTTTCTTTTCTCACATCTCATGTCACTTCTATTACTGAACCTCTGACAACTCAAAATGCAAGTTGTGTGTGTGTCTGTGAGTGTGGCAAATGTCTTGCCAATCTTTATCATATTTACCATTAGACAACGGTAAAGCATTTAGTTTGAGTGAAACTGAAAATTATATTTGAAAAGTCAGACATTAGGTGACTTTATCTGTAGTCGTCCTGCACGTGTACATTATCACCCTTTTTAAAGCAATTAATCTCGTCTGTCTTCCAGCGTGGATGTGCCTAAGACAGACGAAATTCCAATTAAATTCCCTCTGCGGGTCGGTTTAAACAGACCATTATAAATATGCGAGGTGACTCTCTACCTCACA